GTGTTTCTGTGGTGGGTGGAGAGATATATATATATATATATATATATATATATATATATATATATATAATTTTTTTTATCTCAAGGTAAAATAATAGGTTGCACACATTAATTGCACACATATGCTATAATGTGCATATATGCATTTTTGCTGATGTTACTTTAAAAAACTATTTCTATCTGATTTGACCCTTGAACATATTTATGTGTAAGTGCAATCAGGTTGATTCATATTAAATATGAGGCAGCCTGTCAAGATAAATATATATTTAATATATTTTAAAAATCACTGCAAAGAAACTGATATATTAAAAAAGACAAAGCCATACAGTCGGTCCTCGGTTCAACTGAGCAGTGAAATATGACAGACCGAAGGAGAAGAGCCTCAGCGTGGGGTCAGGCATGTGTTTGTCTTGACCACAGCATTGACTCCAGGTGACTGTAACTGAATCAGTCTATGTTTAGTGCACTCTCAACCTCAATAATCACAGTGTCGGGGTTAGCAGACTTTATATAATTAGGATGTCATTTGAGCCCTTTATAACTGAAAGATTCTCTGTGGTGCTCAGAGGATGCCAGGAGGACAATATATGGTTGTGCAATCAGTTACATTCACAGTATCCTGCCAACAAGTCGACCTGGTCACGTTGTACTAGAGACATGGAAGTAAACGCTAGAGGGCAACATGATACACACTGGTCGCTTCGGGAAAAAACTAGGTCACAAGGATACATGACCCATCCCTTTTTTTTATGATGTCTCCTCCTCAGCCATATCTTCTGAGGGACAGACACATTTCAGCCAAGGTCAAAGGTCAAAGTATATTTTTATATTTATATAATATAAAATACCTGTTTTCTATTTTAATTTATTTCAAAATGTAATTTATTTCTTTGATGCAAAGTAATGGTAGCCTACTTACAAATGTTAAAAACAGTTTTTGCTTATTTTGTGTGTGTGTGTATGTGTGTGTGTGTGTGTGAGAGAGAGAGAGAGAGAGTGTGAG